TCTCAAAAAAAAAAAAAAAAAAAAAAATTAGAGCTTAAGAAGTTAACTGACAAGAATACAGTTAAGTAGAGTCTTCTAATGCTCTCTATTTTCCTTACTTTTTCCTTCTGTATGCTTTAAATTTTCTGTTATTAAGCTGTTGGTGCTAAGATCAAACTCATTATTTACAGTCTAACCAGAATGTAAACACTGAGAATTCATTTGAAGTTAAAGAAAAGAAAGGGTAAAATAAGTTTTTAAATCAAAGTGCTATTAAGACTGCTTTACCCTAATTTTGGTTCACAGCTTTCCTTGAATTACCATTAGGGCAGACAAAATTTAGCCATGAGAACAAGTTTTATTTTGTCAAAAAAACACCAAAACTTGGATCCAGCTGCTTTTTTTTAGGTCAGTGAGTTTGTGATTTTGTCTCACAACTAGAGGTCGGAGGCAAAAGCTATGGGACCTCTGTGTATATATGTATAGACTTTTAGATATTTGTATTCAATACACAAGTATCATGTTCTGGTTTGTGTCTAACATGCTACCAAACTGGCTTATAAGTAAATGAGCAGTAGTAAATAAAATGCAAATGTTTTCTGAGTTCACATGAATCTTTGGTAACTAAAGCTAGTTTAAAAATTATTTGTAAAAAAACACATTTGTATCTGGGTCAATTTTATATTTCTCTCCACTAAATGTTGAAGGTGTTGAGAGTTTGGCAAACAAGTTGTAAGACTATAAACTCAGCCAAAAATAGAGTAATCTTTGTGAAATTTTTTGACAAATAAGACTAATTTAAGATTGTTGGTTCAATAAAACAGCTAACTCTTCTGAATTATTGACAAAATACATTTTACTTTAAGATTCTTACTTAGGTGTTCACCTAATGTTGAGACATTAAAAATCATGAACAAAAATACCTTTAAATAACTAGCTTTGTATAATATCTGTTTTCAAAAATACTATACATAAAGCATTAAAACTTAGAATTAAGTACATGTATATGAAATAAATGCCTCTAAGTATACTTTTTATATAATTTAAAATATTTAAATTACTTTAATCAATGTTCTTGGAATGTCTGGGTCATTGTCAATTTAAAAAAATATTATGATATAAGAAGACATGTTTCTAAAACTGTAAAATGGTTTTGTCTATATAATGCTAACAGCAGACAAACAGTTTAATGTTTTCTTGCTTCCTATGGTTGCATGAAACTTAAAGTTACCATGAATGGAAATTCTAATCAATGTACAATTCTGTAAATTTTATTCTTATTACAAAAACAATTTTATGGAATTTTGGAGGTTATTTTGAAGTCATTTATAAAAAAAGGCAAACAACGAAAACAGTGAGTCAGGGAAAGTGATGTGAACAAACTTACAGATATGAAGATGTATTTTTGGTAAGAAATGTTACAAAGAAAAAATTAATTTTATATAATAAAAAATATGGTAGTATTTCTTCCTAAAGTACAATAACTGATTTTTTAGATTAGGGAGAAATTTAGGACAAGTCAAAAAGATCAAGAGTATCATAGATGGTCTATGAATGTAAGTCTTGATAAGGTGTTTTTTTTGTTTTTTTTTTTTTTAAAGGAGAATTTAAAAGTTACAGGGCTTTAACTCCTGGGTACACGTATTTAAAAAGGCACTGACTACTGCAAATATCTAACACTAAAATGAATTTTGTATGTGATTAAGTTAGTGATAATCAAGAGAGCTGTTTATAATAATCTTTCTAAGAATGATCCCCTCTGTTGCTGGGCGCGGTGGCTCACGCCTGTAATCCCAGCACTTTGGGAGGCCGAGGCGGGTGGATCACGAGGTCAAGAGATCGAGACCATCCTGGTCAACATGGTGAAACTCCATCTCTACTAAAAAAATATACAAAAAAAAAAATTAGCTGGGCATGGTGG